ACTCACAGGAAACCGGCTTGGTGGTAATGATCAGTTCCCTTAGATATCAGTGGAACAGTCATAGAACAGCTAAAAATTAGCTAATTATCATGCAAATTAGGTAATTAACGAGCATGGATTTTTACCAAAACCTAATCAAATCTGCGCATTGGCCCAGAGCATCTATGCACCAAGTTTCATCAAAAACCGATGTATGGTTCTTGAGATAGCAGTGGAACAGTCGGACACGCATACACACACACATACACACATACAGACACACTAACTGCAAAGACTCCCATTTTGTGCTTCGCACATGGGAGTCAAAAACAAATATGGTGGCCCTCAGGTAGACTGGCGCAGTTGGGGTGATTAATTTGTTTTTGTAGTTTAAATAAAATTAAATAAATTGCGAAATGGAGGTGCAAAATCCCTTGTAACTGCAAAATCACCCCGACTGGTTTATTCTGCATGGCCCTCTATCGACACTGCAGGAACCCGTCGATTTTTCAACGGGTAATTATGTTAATGAGTGTTCTAATTGACAATCATCTGAGCCAATCACAGCGTCTCTTCAACTGACCTCTGACTGAGAAGACGTCGGCTGATTGTAGCAGTCAATATTTTTTTAATTCTACGACTAGTACAAGTTACTTTTTTACACATTGTGATGAATTAGAAACGACGACTACGACAAACTCGAATTTCAACATGCCGCCATGTTGGGTCTGCAGTGTGACCTTTACCATGTTGACCTCATTATGCACGTATTTCCGCGCCCACCTCATTACAATATGTGCATCATGAATATTTAATAGCAATGAATTTCCTGCAGAATAAACCAGTCGGGGTGATTTTGCGCTAACACCTCCATTTCGCGATTTTTTTTTTATTTTATTTAAACTACAAAAACAAATTAATCGCCCCGACTGTGCCAGTCTAGCCCTCAGGGTTTGACCAGACAACACAAAGAAGTTTCCTAAATTTGTTCTCAAAGTTTTGGATTTCAGCAAGTATGCACTCAGTGTGCTGTTACATCATCCTCCGCTGCCCGTCTGTCGATACTCCCACTGAAGTGTCTTTGTGCATACTTTTTGGCATCCTTGTAATAACCTCATAGTATAAGAAATACTTTCGCATAACAGAACAATTCCCAATAGGAATTTGTGAGATATTTTCTTACCTCTGACATCAATTGTACCAGTGGATCTTGAATATGTAGGCCGGCTGTTTTGATTATCAGGAGAGTTCTCCGCAATACATTGGTAATTTCCTCCATCCTCTTCTTGGATATTCCTCAAGATCAGGACTTGATTTTGGTTATCGAAAGACGCTGATGATGGAATAGCCTGCCCGAATGGTGCCACTCGTTCCCAACTCAACCGCGGAACAGGGCTGTGAAACAAACATAATATTGTAAAACCATACACCCAAGTAAAAAAATATATTTTATCAAGATTCTGGCGTTTTGTTGAGAGATCAATCCTGTAACGTATTTGGGTTTTTTGGAATGTTTTGGCCAATTTTTTTTTCAGAAAACAACATTTTTGTCAAAAAACAAGTGCTTGTCCAATATGAGATATGGTTCAGAATGGTGAAAATGTGTGATTTTGATGCATCTCTGGCATTAAAATGGCTGCCAATTGGCCACCTTCAATCAAATAAAACAAATGGATACTGATGGATACACACACAGATGCACAGAGGTCAATCCATATATCCCAATTTTTTTGACTTTGTCTGAACAGGGGGAATAATAAACAATACTGACAGAATCTTGGATAAACAAACTATTTTTGTGTCTACAGTCGAGATACCTGCAAGATGTTTCAATTCTCTACTGTCCCTAACACCATGTATCATCCCTCAGTGGTGGTAAATGTCCTTAATAATTAAAGTCTGACATATGAAACTAACACAATTTTTGAAAAAACAAAAAACTACAATTCTGTAGTCGGCCTAAATCTTAGAAGCCCATAATAATTCATGCAAATCTGCCAAATATTGAGGTGATAGATAGGTGAATTTTTGACCACAGTATTGGACAAATACGATACAGCTTGATTGAGCATTCAACTCATCAAATATCAGTGAAAATAAATTCCATACAAAACACTGAAAAGTAATTTCAGCAAAAAATTATTAATAGCAAGTATTATAGCAAGTATTTTACAGTAAATGTGAAAAATTTGACAGTTAGTATATGCAAGAACTGCAGTGAACATTTACTTGGATTCACCATTCCGAATTAATGTTGCTTGCATTAGGTTACACTTTGTTTAGCTACACCATAAAAACGCCCTCATTGTATTGGATTATTTGTGAACAAACTACCTCACTGAAAAATTTCTTATATACCCCATACTTTTCTGACCGTTCACATGTACAATATGCTTCAACTTAGTCTGAGAAAAGCATTCATTAAAAAATATATTTGCATAATTAGTAAACTGCCACAGAATTCTTGAGAATAATGAATGACTTTTAGCACTATACCACAATGCTATGTGCAGTATCAGAGCAAAAATGTATTCAAGATAGTAATGAATGATTGTACTTACTTTCCTCGAAAGAAGCACTCAAGTCTGACGTTGTCCCCTTCAAGTACAGTCTGATCCTGCACAGCATGAGATACCTTGGGTGACTGGAATCCTGCAACTATAACAAGAATATTTACAGTAAGTGAGTTCTTCATTATTGCAAGTATTACAAATAGAATCCACCTATAACAAATACGGATTCCAATATTTTTATTAAGCAGATAACCATTATTTTATTTCAAACACATTGCAGTAAAGATTTGGTGCAAGTTATAACGCTAAAAAGAACTGAAAACCAAGTTTGACTTGATACAAAAAACTAGGGTCATTGGACAATTTTCCTGAGAAACATGGGAGCTAAAAATGTCCGAGAAAAATGGCAAATTCTACATTTTTATCCATTTTGTATTGTTCGAAAATTTCTTTATACGAGCCTAAAAGTTTGATAATGTGAACAGTCTTTATTGCACAAAAAACAAAAGTTTGTGAATTTCATGAGTGTCGGCGACTCTCTGGCAAAATCTTGACTCCATGAATGTCATAGAAACCAAAAATGATAAAATAAGTGTTTAAAGTATATAATTTCACAGTCATCAAAAAGACAATATTATACAAATAAATCAAAATATTCAGATCATGTATACTCACAATTGTTAGTTAAAACACTGACTGAAATCTGTGGACTGATTCTGCCATCTTGACCAGCACCAGACGCAGCATCAAGAATATTCTTAACAATACATGAATAATCTCCTTGATCACCTTGGTCAACTTTAGCAAAATACATATTGCCATTGCTTGCTATCATCAAACGCTCACTCTCACGAACAAAGTTGAACTCGATATCTTTGACCCAGTAGAACGAAAGTCCTATTCGAAAATATACACAAGTTAAACAAGTTACAGACTACTGCACGAAACAAGTTGATGTGGTATTCAATGTCAATTTGAAATTGGTTTGAATTTTTCAAAGAAGAATCAGAAACTCAATTTGGCACAAGATACGCATGTTGATCACACCATAACCACAAGTACATTCTGTCATTGTGACAATTTAGACTAAATTACTTATCCAAAGGATTGCATTAAACTACATTTGCCATTTGAATTTATCATAAAAGTTGCAATTTTTTCTTCTAAAAAAAAATTCTTAATTAAACAAAAAATTGTAATGCACATTAAACGTATGTGTTATGTGTTGACCAGGGTTTGCGCGAGTGTCTTGGCAAGACAAGTCCTACTTACAAAATTTTAAGAAATTGAAATTTGACCCTGGATTACTTTATTAGAGATTGGTCCCCAGCTTGCCTGAAAAACTGGGTCCCTCTTCAATAATTGGAGTCCGGGAAGCAAAATATGGGGTTAACGAAATCCCTGGTTGACAAAAAATTTTTTAAATGAATATTCACAAGACAAATAGACATGAACTAATCTAAAAGTTGCTGGTTTCAGACTATATCCAAATATGTCTAATTAGCTTACATTCCATGACAATTTGTTCAGAAAATATTTTGAATACAAGATAATGTGACAACTGCTGTACTTATGTAATAATTAACAAATATATATATATATATATATATATATATAGTGCTTTAGGTAAACATATGACAAGTTTGTATCAAAGCTGACAATAGAAAACCTATGCAGGCAGTTGAATTCTCACTCTGGATTGACAACTCACAAGACATTTGTTTTTATGTAAAACAGTGCCATCTAGTGTTGAAAATGTAAGATATTTACCAGGATATGCATCTGGAGCATTGCAAGAAAGCATAAATCCATTTCCTTCTGTGGCTACCTTTGGTGACTGTCCTTGCCTTGGAAACGGATCAACAACTGAAAATTTAAAATAGTATTAATATTTAGATTCACAAGAAAACTTGTACTTGTAAACACTTGTTTGGAATTTTTCCAGCAAAAATTTGTTAAGCAACATTATTTTTTTGTCTTCCAATTTTGAACAAAATAAACTAAATTTCCTATTGTGTACAGATGTAGATACAATTTAAAAAAAAACAAAGTTTAATTTGGAGAGGGGGTAGAATTTTGATTCATGAATTTTAACTTAAAAAAAACACTTTAGTATATCTTATTTAATTTAATTTAATTTAATATTGGTATACTAACATAACGACTTTCTCTAGTGTATACAAGATCACAGTTTCATGTTTACAGACATAATTCTAGATTAGAAATACAATAATACTTACATCCAAAACTAAGAGTAGCTATCTGACTCAGTACCACCCCATAATCATTAGAAGCAAAACACTGAAATGATCCGGCATCACTCTGCCTTGGTTCGGCTATCGTCAGTTTGCCTTCCATTAATGTTAGCCTGTTATCTGCTAATATATTTACATCAACATCATTTTTTTTCCATTTGTAGGTTGGTCTAGGATAACCGTCAGCTTCACACTCAATTGATACACTAGGAAGGTTGGAATCTGCATTAAATATTGTGTCTTTTGGTTCGACAATAATATGCGGCCCCCTAGGCTCTTTATCTTCTCCTGAAATAAACAGGAAATAATTATTGACAATGAACAGTTTTTATTTGACATTACTGCTAGCTGATATTCAGTACAAGTCGCATGCAGATATACATGTCTACCAAAAGGCTCCAATCATCATCTGTATGTCAATTTCAATTCAGTATGACCATAAGCACACAGACTGACAAAATGTAGTGATTTTAATCATAAAGACAGAAACTAGCATGCAAAACATAAAAAAAAATGACTGCCAATCAGCCATTTTTTTTAATTGAAAAATGACATGCATGCAGCAACCTAGTCTACAAGACCATGATACAAGTTTGGTTGAAATCAACCAGTTAATTGTAGAAAAACGGTTGTGGATATGTTTACAGACTACATGATGATTTAGACATAATTGTCGTCAATTCAACAAATATGAACAAATCACACCTACGTACAAGTATGAAGCAACCATTTACAAAACAGTTCAATAACCATATCCATTTCACATAATTAATAAAGAATGGTCACAGCCATACAAGCATTTGGAAAAGGACTGTTCTGAAACTTTGCTAAATTATTCATTGTGATTGGATTGATTAATTTCCTAAGAAAAAACTTGAACTGAATTATGAATCACAGCTGTAGGAATTCAGCTTATCTTAGCTTAGGAAATCCAGTCATTTTTCAAATGGAAACAAAATGTGATACAAGATCAAATAGCCTAGAGTACTGCAATCTAAATTCCAATGCAAAATAAAACGAGAATTGGCCAATAAGCCAATGAATTGAGGGTATAAGACTTCAAGGTCAAACACATTTTTGAATATATTTATGCATGACAACCTAAAATAACATTTGCGTCACACAAATTGATATTTGAATGACTATCGTTGCTACATCAGTTTCTTGAACATACATTATTTACATTGCATGTCCTTTCATCCTTTGATGTTAGCACTATAAAAATTGTCCCATTGACAACTATTACTCCTGTAGCCACGGAAACTGACATCAATTTTGGTGAGAAGTTTACAAAAAGGTTTAATTTTAACTTAAAAGAAAAGTTATCTTCATCAATTTGACTTTTGTCCGAAGCATGCATTGTATTATAAAGGTGTCTTAGATTACGGGTAAGCAGGTGCAGGAAATACAACAATTGTAAGTTTCTATTAGTTACAGACCAAGTTATAAATACCCACTGAAAAACTATTAATTTTGAGTCGATTTTGAAAATAGGTAAGCTTGTCTGAGTACTAGTAGCTTATTGCATCTTAAAAATACAAATGAAGGGAAAATTGAACAAATTACATGCAGAGCTCATGTTCATAAGTTAAAATACTGTTAAATATGCCATAGCTATTAAATGTGAAAGAAAACTTTTTTTTCTGACAATCAGATTGTTGATACTGATTTAAAGCGCAAGAGTGGTCACCTGCGCACACGTAGGAATTGAGTCCCAAGCGACAATAACACACACTAAAAACGGAAAGGCTCATGGGTAGATGCTTGTTGGTAAACAATAATACGCTATGGCCATCTGATGCATGCGTAGGTGGATGACTCCCTGCTTTAAATTTTCTGAAGTGGCATGCAGCTACTGTAAACTGCGTTAATTTCACAGGAGACAAATTTTCGTGAATATAGCGAGTCAGTCAAAATCACAAAAATTTGTAGCTCAGAGAAAATTTCTTAGGGATCTGATGAAGCCGAGTGCCAGTAACTTGCACAAATTTTTTTCTTTATCAATGCCTTATAATTCTCAACATTCCTAGCAGTGGAAATTACACTGTTCACAGCATTTCAAGGTGATTACAGTCCTGTAAAATACTTTATTTTAGATGGAATTAATTTTCGCTGAAAAGACTGAATTTTGACAAGTTGAATGTAATCATGGTAAATTCGCTGGATTTTATTTTCACTGAATCATTTCTTCCAGGAAAATAGCGAAAATTAATTCCAAGCGAAAATAAAGTATTTTAAAGTAATACAAACCATGCAAGCAGCTAACTAAATAACCCCTGAAATATTTTCAATACTATAATCTCCAAGATCTTCAACTCCATGTGCTCTACCAAAGTATAGTAACCTAACACATCCACACACAGCTTTCCTAATTCTTCTCCACATGGGGCCATACAATGCACTAACGCAAGTTAGGAAAATATTGAATTTATGAAATGCCAAGACTAGAATCACTGCAATGTCACTGCATCCATCATTGCTACTGAGCGAAGTATCAAAATAAATATGTGCATGAATAGAGAAGTGCATGTGTTTAATTCTCTGGGTATAAGATCAAGTTTGTGATGCCAAGCAATGATGCTATCAAGTATCTAATAAGACTGGCAACACAGTGGGAGATATGTAATTCAATAGACGCTGTAATGGAGACAAGATGAGGTCACAATCAAATACAACACAGATCCACAAGTACAATAATCAAATTTTCAAATTTCATTTCAGTTGAAAAAAAATAAATTAGAAACTTAGATCAAGAACATGGCAACTATTATATGCACAACACCCCCTCACGAACACCTATCACAGGCACAACACCCCCCTCATGGACACCTATTAGCCATAACACAGCCACAGATGATAAAAGGTCAACTAAGGTCAGATGTATGAAAATATGTTTAAGGTCAATATACAGGATAATGGTATAAAAAACCACCACAGTATGAGACCAGCAAGGGCATGTTTCAGGGTTGCACATGGTCACTTAAGCCCCAATGAAAATCAGTTATAGCAAAACAACCACCAAAAGATTATTATAAATCAAATCAATCGCCATTTCACAACAAAAAATTGAGTTGAAATTTTACTAATTTTTTTCATTGAAAAACATCTTGGCTCTTTTTGAAATATTGGTCATATAATATAAAGTAAAACTAGATAATATCCCACGATATATTCTCTAGGTTTACTTCAGCAGGCACTCTACTACTCTAGTAGAAATTACGAGTATCTGGTGGCGTCAACCCAAGAGAAAATGCAATGGGATTTTATAATTACATGCATATTTAAAAAACTATGCATGACCAATAAATTAATTATAAAATACTAAGTCTCCCAAATTTATTGCCCCATACTAATTTATTATGGCGTTTAAAAATAGTTTATTAGAGATTCTCTGATGAGAAACTGCATTCGCAGTCGTAATATTTTATGTCATCATTAACTGTCCAAGTATATGTTAGGGCAGAGTTCTGGCCAGTTTGGTTAAAACATCGTATAATGTCCTGAAAATACTGTGATCTGAATTATACAACATAAAATGACTTACGTGCAATGCATACTGCGTAGTGAAGGAGTAAGGCAACTATCTTTAAAACCGTATTCATGATGTCATCCAGTACTCTACAAAGTTACTCACTACATACACGGCAGCAGCCTAATCTGTGGAAAAAAAAAAAACGAGAACTAGTTGTAGAATTCTGCATGTAGAATTTGAAGATGCATTACGAACAAATAAAACCATTTCAGTAAGTTGTTTAAAACACCAAGAATTGCCTCAAATTCAAGGGTTCTGAAAGTGCTGACAAGACTGCTTTATCCATCACTGCTCGAGACACGCCACAGTTGTTCATCTGTTAGTGTGCAGTACTCATCAATAAACCAATACACTGGCACAATAAATTAACACAAGTAAAGAACAAGATCATTAATCAAATTAAATTTGCTAAACGGACAAGAAGTTTCTTCAACATTTTTTATTTTCCCTTGGTCAGGTCAGAGTAAATTCTTTAGGAATGATTAAGAAAATTTATAGTTAAACAGTGAACAGATATGAATGTACTTAGGCTGACAGATTTGATTGTGACTGTCTTTGATTCAGACCAAAGTTGCACTTTGTTCCACACACTAGGCCATAGAAAGATTATAGTTTTTGACCAAACAAAATAATTAATTGACATTCAATTAGCTCAGGAAAAGCTTTAATTTGATGATATTCAACCTATGAGTGACATGGACGAAGTTAAAGTTGTACTCCAACTGTGCAAATTTGAGGTACCATCCACTGACCTGCATATATCCATTTTAAAATTGTGGATGGTTAATTACAAGAGAAATTACCCCGGTAACTATTGAATATAAATTTTAGTGGGCTAACATTGTAATTATGTACGTCCTGAAAGTAAAAAAACTAGTGGGTAAGTGAGCAAAGCCACGATAGCTATCATATTTTGAATATCTGTTATTTTTACACTATTTTAAGTTGTTTGCTTGTTCTAGCAGCGATATTTCACGTATTTGCAAAGAAATGACTGCTGGGTAATTGAGGCAATATTATTTGTAATTCAATTTGACAACAAGGTCATTCAAAGAACATGCATTGCTTTTTACTTCAATAACAGAAATATTGCATGAAATAAAATCCAATTTACTTGCGGTTTGATGGGAATATTGAGCGAGTAAATGATCACAGGACAGCACTTTGTAGACTGAACAGGACTTGCTTTTAGCCATAAAAATACAGTGAATAGAAATGTCTATTGACTGATCAATCTGGTTCATTATTTTTCTATAAATATCAATAACGCCTTCCAAGTGTTCTTGGTTTTTATTGCAATGCAGCCTGCAATGTTTGGTGATTATCCTAACATTTTCCTAACAATAATGAATGACCCACTCCATTTGACGAGAAGTCAATTGCATGCAAGACGCACACCATGTTCAATCTAATAATGTTAACATAAAACTGCTTAGGACTGTATTATTAGCTGGGTTTGAATTTTGCTTATTTCACCATTATATTTTGAAAGTACCATAGTTATCCTAGCCTCATTTCATTACTGGAAAGCCTTGTCCCCAAGACAGACATACTTACAATGTTAACACGCTTAAATTAAAATTAAAATTCAGTGAATATTCAAATTTAACAATCGACTATTTTGTTCCCTTTACAATCCAGTCAATTAAAACCTAGTAAACATCCCTATAACATCAGCAGCTAAAATTAAACCAAGTATACCATTATCAATATGTGTTACATGTTTATTCCTGGTAGATGCAACTTATTCTTGCTAAAGTCCAAATGTCAGCTCTACAATAGGAACACAAGCACATTATACAATGCTCTATAATGACATGGTCAGTAATTAAACATCACGTTTCATCAAATTAAAACACTTTTGTTTACTTCAGATGCGCTGCCCTATCAATAGACACTGAAATAGACCCATGTTCAATATGGGTCCCATACAACATGTGCAAAATAAGTTTGTTTACACAAAATTAGAACACACAGTCAATGGCAATTTACTGTACTGAAGACAATCCAATTTGAGTAAAGATAATGTAAACAAACAAACAAATAAACAACTATCTTCATTCATCCCAAAGGAAATCAAATCAAATTATTCCTAAATGACATGTACACAATGTTTTACTGTCAATTCATTTGGGATTTCTTAAAAGAGGTCATTTAGAGAATAAATGCATGTTATATTATTGCTTCATCTGTTAAATATTCATGTAATAACATATCAATTGCATGAAAAAATTACACATTTCATTCAATAAATTAACACAATCCTGATCAGGATCAAGAGTGATGTGTATGATAATTAAGGAATATAAAAATCGCGCTGGTCTCAAGAAAAACAGCATTTTTATTTCCAACTTAATAGAGAGTTTAAGATTTGCGTACGTAACGGGAACGTAACGTGTTCTAATTTCGTTTGCGTTACGTTCTCGGGTGTCGGAAAACGATTAAGTACAATCGTCCACAACGAGAACGTAACTGAAACAGAACCATGTCAATCCATCTCTCATTTGGCAACCATCTATCCAATAAAATTTGTTATGTCATTTCACATCCGGAAACTGAATTAGTAGTTAGTTCCAAGACATTTGACAGAGCTCTTGCTATTTCCACCCACTCTGCTGAGGTCCTAGGCCTGTTTGCCGAATCCTCTTTCGGCAGATCAATGTCATGCGTTTTCAGTGGGTATAAATGTCAGCTAAAATGCATCCAATATTTCTTATTTCATCATAAATATACAAAATCACTCCAATATAAAACGTTGTATCAATGTCAGTGAAAATTAATCAAAATTGACAGCGAGAAAAGCTCTCGGAAATCAACTACGAGTCAGTCACCTTTATCACGTTCAAAACGACTGCCGTACGACCAGGCAACCGATGACGTCATTAGTTCGCGCGGAGAACATGCACAAAGCAGGCACAAAGCAGTGACGTATCCGTTCTCGTTCCGTTCTCGTATGCGCATCTTAATGTCTCTAATATATGCAGGACATGCATTTTTCATACTGAATCATAGTGGAAACTACACCCTGTACAATTCAGTTGTACTACAAGATCCTAGTTTGCTGACTCCAGTGTTCGTGTTCAGGTTCAACTGAGGTCTCCAATGCTGAATGTTTTTAATATTTCAATTTTGTACTATGCAAAATAAAGCTACATCCAACATAATACCAGTCATCAATGTGGCACTGACTTACTATCATTACACAAGTTACTGAAATTGTTAGGGAATTTTAACCTTGCATTTCAGCATGAATAAACAAGGATATCATGGGGCATCAAAGGCAACTTGATGCCAACATGTTTGTCTGGGTGCCCTTTATAGAAATGAGCATTAAACTTAACTTTCTATATGTACATATAAATGTAAACATTGGGATAAACAATCCACAAACAAAATTATTAAATAAAACCCATGATGAATTAGGTCATTTCTTTAAAGGTAATAAAACCAATTACATTCTCATCATCTGAGTTATTTGTACACCACATGCAGTCTGACACTATAATTACATGTTACTCATAACAGATGACTCAGAAACACAAATCTAATTGATAACACAATTCCAGATATTTTCAGTTGATTTTTCAATAATTTACTTCATTTAATATACAAGATGATTAACTATCTCGGCCAAGATTTCAGCTTAATTATTCACACACTATTTTTTTTTGTATTATGTATTTTTTTTAAATTATTCATTTCTTATCAAGTATCACTAATGTAAACCATTTCATTTTGACTGCCAGAAATTTCACAAATTTAGGATTGTAGGACATTCATGAAGCCAAAATTTACCGAGACTTAGTGTTTTAGGAGGACACAAGAGAAATTTTCACTAATACAAATAATCACAAAAAATTTGTTTCTTGGGAAATTATACTGGTTCACAGCATGTTTTTTTTTAATAGACTAGTAGATTTAGCGACCCCAGTATACGTTTTGGAGTACAACATACTTTTAAATAAATAAAAATAGTTTAATTTCTAAGCTTAAAAAGCCAAGTATAGGAATTACATTAGAGCTTGTTTCTGTCACAATATTTGAAAAAACTTTGATTTATGGCCTGTATAAAGTTGGCAACTTGGGGTTAATTATTTCTGCCAGGTTTCTATCCTAGAACTTATATCAATCATGCTGCCATGATAGCAAAAGATGTGTTTATTCAACTTGTAAAATTCACTGATCCACTCCATACCCATACTCAGTGATCTGATACCACTTAAATATAGAAGACTCAGTATGGTACTTGCCATACCCTAAACACTTAACTGCTGAGATGCATAATCTGTAAGTTATTATTCTACTGTAGTGACCATCTGTTAAATTGTATCAAATTAGTGAAAAGTCAAAATTTTAAATAATGAAAGTACTGTAGAATACTGTGGAATACTTTATTTTCGCTGGAATTAATTTTCGCTGAAAAGGCTTTTTGGGCGTTTTGTATGGAATTTATTTTCACTGATTTTGTACGAGTATTATGTGAAATATAGAAAAAGTATATTCACTAGATTTTATTTTCACGGAATCATCCCTTCAGCGAAAATAGCAAAAATAAATTCCAAGCGAAAATAAAGTATTCTACAGTACTTTTATTATTTCACTTGGAATTAATTTTAGCTATTTTCGCTGAAAATAGAATCCAGCGAATATACAGTTTTTTCTATATTTTACATTCCACTTGTCAATTATCAGTGAAAATAAATTCAATACAAAATACCAAAAATGTCTTTTCCTCAAAAATTAATTCCAGCGAAAATAAAGTAATTTACAGTAAAAACCTTAAAAATTGATACTTGAAATGCATTTCAAACATCTCGCTTGTAGCATCATTATAAAATTAACAACAAACTAAAACCATGACAAATCTCAACCAAAACCTACATGTATACCGTCACTCTAACCCTAATTCCTCCTCTAACAGTGTCACTATTAAAGTCTGAAATATTGCACTCCATTCAACACCTAGTATTCAACACAAATTTCACATTTACAATTTATCTGTTGAATTATTACTAGAGCAACGCATGTCGTAATAACATGACGAAGGGGGACCTATAACAATGTAAGCAATGTGTGTAAAAATACATTGTTTTTTACATGAAATTAGAACACACTTTGCACAAATCATCACTAAGGGACAGATATTATTCTAAAACCGGATTCTTTCTCTACAGATGATACGTGTCAAGCTTGGAAAGGGATTGCAGACTTATGGACCATCATTGTGCAATATCAATATCAATCTTTGTCTAAGGATGAACACAAACCTATTTACATTGCCAATCCCTTTCATATCCTAGGCGAAACCCAAACACAAAACAGTTTCTTTACATTATACACCCATCAATATATGACATTGTCACAAGAATTGTAATCAGTATCTAAATAATACCTAAGGGTTCTCAGCAGAAATCACAGTATACATTTAGTATATACTTTCAAAAAGAGTTGTTGACTTTTTAAATATTTTCTCCAACATTGAATCTACAAATTTCACAGCCATAACTAATTATTAGTAAGATTTTGATGTGAAAGTCTTAAGAGCACTATTAATTTTACTATTCTTAAATTGGCTTAATACAGTATTTATTGACCAATAAATAATTATTGCATCTCAAGTTCATGAACTGCTTAGATTAAGAAATGCCTGAACATTTATGACATTCTCTGACAAAAAAAAAAAACACCAGATGATCCTGGCACACATCCAAAATGCTGATTGTTCTTGTTTAATGCAATGACCATAACACTACATATTTTCCCTCTTGAAACCCATTTCGATAATACTAATAATGTTACAATTCTAGAAAGACTTATCAAAAGCTTAGTGGATTCAAGCAAGTTTATCAGTGGTACGTCTACTTCAGCTTCTTCAATAGTGCTACAGCTAGCGGCAATGATTTGGTATCAATTTACTGTGAGAATTACACAGTAGTTCCTATTTAGTGTTTTTGTAATATTGTTTTCCTGATGGCGCTTTTGTGGAATTGTTTTTGTTTTTTGAATGACCTTTATATTGTCGTCTGTATAGAAACTAAAATAACTGACATACACTGTAGTTCAATCAAGGCCATGGGACTGAATCGAATCATGCAATCTTTTTCCGAGACGGAGGAATTTACAGTGAAGAGAGACATTCTGTTAGTACGTTACACAAACGGCTATGGAACGCAGTCAGACCCAGGTCTTTTGCATTGGTCATCCTACGTCCATTTACACGTTGTTTTGTTCAAATTGTAGCACTACTAAAGTAATCATAGGCGTTGCAAACCAGGTGATTAACTAGAAACTGAGTTTCTGGGCCTCCACGATTGCAGTTGATACTGGGACTACGCCATACTAAAAAACAAATCAGCTGCTTTCACCACACGACTACAGTCATCCCAAGATAACCATGAACAACGAGTTTTAATTTCGCGGACGGAATACTTTCGGTTATAAACTCATTCAAACAATCTACATACAAATACGTAATGAGGCAGCCATTTTGAACTCACTTTCAGCCAGGTGCGTCAGTTCACTTTCTAAGCTGCCATGCCAGTTCGGGAATGGGCCCGAGAGTGAATCATGACAATATCAGGAGAGTAGAAACCTCCGCACCGAACTGAGGGCTCACCGGTTAATATAATTAGGAAGCATGCATCAATTTTCAAGTACTTCATCCTCGTAAAGGTAACGTTGACATCGATCAAAGTCAACCTCCCGAAGAGGGGAACGCTCGCAGAAAGAAGGTAAAACATCGGATGAGAAACATGTCGTTGGGAATTCCAACCGTCAGATTACATGCTGCAAAATATTACTTACCACGAGCATGAAGCATACAGGAAATAATAAAATGGAAATATGAGAACAAGTCGATGTGTAAACAGACCTTCGCAAGCTGGGCTGGTGTCATCCACAGTGAAAGTGCAGCGCAGCCACGCCGTGTTTCCATAAAAGGAATGTACATACCCATAAAAGGAGCGCCGCCTCGTGAATATTCAGATCTGAATTGCCGCGACGAAATACAAAAGAACTCAATCACAATCAGTCTACGATATCAAATCACTAAACATGTCACTTCTATTATTAACGGAACGAAGAATTACATAAATCCTCCACCGATAATAATTCATGAACACAATAACAAGCCTACAGAGACAGAACAAAAACTAATCTTTTACAAAGCGCCCTCGGGCTTTTCATCCACCATAGAGCTAAGAATATCTTTAGCTCCACGCATCACCGTACCTAGAAGTATATTCGATGTATATTGAAAAGAGATAATGCTTATATAAACCAAAGACACTAGAAAAATATAGTGTCTTTGTATAAACCGACATACCCTGGCTGTTTATTTTATCCATATTACTAAAACAGTAGTAACCATGGCAGAACATTTGTTTATAAATGTTAGATGTAATTAAAGGGGTCGATGCATAACTTCGAATGGTCCACACATTGTGGTATCACTCCTCTATCAAAGTAACAACCAACCTACCCCAGTGTGTGCCCTATGAAGCCCATTTTTTAATTCACATACATACATACATAAGTGCCCACATACTTCAGATTGAAGTTGGGCGATATCACAACATAGATATCTCAAATAGAACATGTCCTGTCTGTGACTCCAATGAAATTGTAACCTGTACAAATTTGAAAGAGATGCTTTGTTTGAAAACGTAAACTTATCCGGTAATCTGAAAGCACTTCTCAATAACAAAAATTCTGAAACCATCCAAGCAATTGCCAAGTTTATCAGCGACTGTTTCACTAAAAGAGAGAATTTCATGAAAACCAATTTACCAGCTGCCTCAAAATAACACCAAAAAATATTTATATAATAATATTTTCACAGTATTACTATTTATTTCTTTATTATTATTATTATTACTTATGTATTTTATTGTTCCTTATATCCTTATTGTATTCTAATCTAGATCCCAGAAGAGATACGATATCAATAAAAGTTGTTATATATACATTCTCATCGATAGTGCATAATGTTAAATAGAACACGTATTCCGGAAATAATGACATTATGTATCAAATACATTACAAGTATATATAATCACAGTTTCTATATCAGATGTACATATTTTGTTGTTGTTGCAAATCTTCGTGACACTTGCTGATACGAATTGTCTTGTTAACGCCACCAACGACAGAACAATGCACTCGGTGATCGGTGAGCGCCTCTAAGCACTGTTAATATGTGACTAGTGGACTAGCATGCGATCAGACAATAATGACATGAAAGTTAACCATAAAAGTAAAATAACGATAAACAACAAATATGTGTGTGTAAATAGTCACTCCAAATTTAACACAGGCAGTCGACACCTGTATAGCGACGACAATGGAGAGCATAGAGGGCGCTTTATATCATTCAAGAATGAGATGAGTGAAAATGACTTTGTGTCTATTTTACACCACCTGAGTAAATAAAGTCTGCTGTCAAGTTTACATCTCTATGAGGAATTTATATATATATATATATATATTATGTGTAATTTTAATAGGCTGTATGACACTTAAAACATCTCTATGGCTACTTAGACACATCTTCGCCAGCCAAGGACCATTTATAGTTCGGCCGAAGCCTCGTGGGCCGGTTATGAATAGCCGGCTTTAGCGAAACCGTGCGATTCGGACGATGACTTAGACACGAAGATAGTAATATTGCTAATTAGAACACAGGTCTGTTAGTGTTATAATACTAACAGTATGTCCGTTAGCAATTTTCACCTAGTTCTTACCAGTTGTATCGTTGATGTCTATGATTTTTATATTACACAGTAGTATTCATTGTTGTTCTTCAAAATGACAAGAGAAGGGACACATACACATATTAAGCGTGCAACATGAGGGGTCATTTAACCAGCCATTAAACGCCATCATGTAAACACCAAAATACAACCAGCCTCAGTCCAGACAGATAAACACAACACAAAAAATATTAGTCACAAATATAGTGGTTACCATGGATGAGAATATTCCATCTTTGTCACCTCATCATTATTACTAATGTATTACTGACGAACCTTTCAGCGATGCCCACTGAGATGGTGTGCGCGGAAATGAACCTGGTACGGTGCGATGTAGACAGTGTATATTTATTATATACTAGTATATAGATCGTTGTATAAGAGAAAGAGGTAAGGATTGCTAGGGTTGTTGAATCGCCCTGATTTACGGGCCTGAGTATTTTTAATACTGAATGACGGTCTGAATAACGAATTCTGATTGGTTCCTCTATCACCTCTAGTTAAATGCCAGTGAAACATTGCCCGACGTCAGACATCCCGCTGCCTGTCTGGTAGATGTCCACTACTATGAATGAACTCACCCAGAATTTTCCAAAATGTTGTACTCCGAGTCGATATAAGGATATTGACGTAACCAAACACTTCCGAAGAAAATTTGGGGGATACATTGCAAACACAATGAGACGAGTTTGTTGGCATGGTAGTGTGCGCAGTGGGTTGCAACGAGTACAGTGTGCAAAGGGACGAGATTACAGTGGGATGAGTTGATGAGGGAAGCAAAAGAAGTACTAATGGGCAAAGTGTTTGAAGGGACGTGCGTGCAATGGAATGAGTTAGTGGGAGAATACAATATGTTGCAATCAGTCACTTGGGGGCTGAAAATCAATAAATACTAATTTTCAAAAAAAAAATCATCCGCTATACGTATACATCGTCCGCCTGCACGGTGTTGTTCCGTTCGGAATTCCTCCCTCTACAACCAGCGAGTATTTCCTTGATTTACCCAGAACTCTATGCGAATCCCCCTTGATTCTGGCTGCTGGCCATTTTCGATCATGAAATCGTCGGATATCATCAGAAAACTCGCGATTTGTGCAGTTTTGAATAAAACCAAGTTAGCGATTATGAACAATGGTTATTAACATAACACCTGACCCCCTCTGCACTTTTTGTTTCGCATTTTAAGGTAAGAAATCGACATTTGAAAACGACAGGGTGTCGATTTACTAGGTGCCGTGTTTCCCAACTTGTTTATTTATATACGTATAGCGGATGATTTTTATTGAAAATTAGTATTTATTGATTTTCAGCCCCCAAGTGACTGTGGTTGCAATGGGCGAAGTATGCAAAGGGACAAGTGTGGAATAGGTTGTGAACTTAGTTAAATTATTGGAGTGCGAGAGTGTAATAGTTTACAATGAAGAGTATGCGTAATTGGATCAGTTCATTGAAGTGGGAAAGCGTGCAATTGTATTTGCAACATGTATACACACTTTAAATGGGGTCACTTTCAAGTTGACTCCAAACTTTGAAATGCTGCAAATTAGATTAAGGTTGAAGCCTACTCATAATTTGTGAGAAAATTGGTCAGAAATCGCATACAATGTTCATTGGTTTCTACGTATAATGGAGCTATTGTTCCATGGTACAATAAAATAGCATTCTTTTGTGTATTACAATGACGTATTTCGACCACATAGACCACATTATTAATGAAAAACTACAAAAAGTACCCCATCGTTAACAATATATGATTTTTTCAGCGCATGTCACCAACCCACAATTTAAGATACAATATCATCTCTGCTATTGTAACCTATGGTGAAATCAATTAGGCTAGTGACCCGCAACGTTTTTAAAGTCAATATCCCTATATTGCCCTGGAGTACAATTGATAGTAAAATGGTACATTTTGGGTATTTGCATTTATATGTAGGCTTCTACCTTAAGACTATTTGTTAATGTTGTAAAATATTCCAATAAATAATGCAAAACAATTATTTTATTTTTGATAAAAATAAATAATCTCCAACAATGTATTTTCAATTTAAAAGTACCGGTATATTATATTCTGATTATTGTGATATGCGTACGCTTCATGCGGCTGACATTGCAGGAGCTACATTGTACATGTGTACACGTTTGGCACATAGAAATAAAAAAAACGATGCGTTTGTCCAGTTAATATCTACATTTTTTACATTATGTCTTGTACAAACCTGAGATAAGGTCAAATAATGAAAATTTCTTATAGTATATATTTGTAGTATAATGTCACGCGTTTCGTGTTAAAACAAGCCATCTGAAGATGACATCGCCCCCACTTGTCAGATGTGATCATAATTGGCTATGAATTATAAAGTTTGAATGCATATGTAAAAAATCGGGTAGGAAGATTAAGTTGAAAATCAACATAACAAGGCACATACCCTATATCGACATATCAAGTAAGTCTCTACCAAGTTTGGTCTTATTTGGACTATTAGTTCACAAGATATTAACATAAATTAAAAATTAATTAAATATTCAAATTAGCCCATAATTAAGTTGAAAGTCAAGAATGCATATCACACATCTTATATTGACATATCAAGTAAGTCCATACCAAGTTTGGTCTCATTTGGACTATTAGTTCACAAGATATCAACAAAAATTCAAAATTCATTAAATATGCAAATGAGCTCGGTAATTAAAGTGAAACTCAATATTGCATAGCATATATCTTATATTGACAAATCAAGTCTCTACCAAGTTTGGTCTGATTTGGACTATAGTTCACAAGATATTACAAGAATTCTTAATTAATAATTAAATATGTAAATGAGCTCATTAATTGATTCCTTGAAAAAATAAATCAATGTGCATCTGTACCAGTGGTCACTCTGTCTTTGTACAAAGTCTCAGCAAAATCGGTCAGGCATCTCCGAGAAATGATGATGGACACACCCAAAAAACTGGATTTTACAGGATTTTGACATTAAAAATGGCCACCAGGCAGCCATATTTGATCAAATCAGGAAATAAATCCATGTGATTATGTATACCACCTCACTGTGTCTTTGTGCCTATCATTAAAATCAGTCAAGGCATCTCTGAAAAAATATTAATGAACAGACAAAAGCCTTGATTAACAATCAAAATGGCTGCCAGTCGGCCATAATTAATCATTTCA